CTTCTTCGGGCACTGTTTCGACCTCTTCATCGTCTGAACTCTTGCTTCTTAATCTCTTACTCACGGGCTCACAATCAGTAGCTTCAGCCATTATCCAGTTCCAGCACGTGCCACGCGGTATTCTGCGCATGCGTGTGCGTAGAGCCTTTGATGTGCGTCATCCTGACATAAGCAACTTATAACATGGCTAGTTCGTGATGTATCCGATTTACAGTCCCCTCCCCTCGGGTGCACGCGCCCTCGGGATCGGTGACTATAAATTAGATACATCACTCCTAGCCATGTTATAAGTACTACTCAACTCACAGCTATTCTTTCAGTGGTAAGTTGTTCCTCATCTCCTATTGTCCTGAAGTGAGGATGATAACTCATTGAAGGGACAATCTTATTAATCTATTAATAATAATAATAATAATAATAATAATGAATATTAATTACTTCATTGAGGGCGTTCATTTTCCCACTAAAGCTCGGTATTTGTAATAATCTTAAAATCATTTTCAAACGAAACGTCTCAATATCATCTCTACCAGGAATCACTGAACACAAGTGACGCAACGACTGTAAAGAGAGTAAAGAATATAAGAACATCAATACACAGCATAAGGACATCAATATGTATCAGAAAATGTAATAAAAAGTTGGGATGATTTTGGAGCCATTTTTTGGAAAAAACCATGGGCTATAGCCTTGGGTATTTTTCAGAATTTTGGCATTTTTTAAAAAAATGGCCATAACTTGAAAAATTGAAGTTGGAATCAGCTCAAACTTGCTACACAACATAAGGACATCAATATGTATCAGAAAATGTAATAAAAATTTGGTGTGATTTCAGAGACATTTTTTGGGAAAAACCATGGGCTATAGCCTTGGGTATTTTTCAGAATTTTAGCACTTTCTTAAAATGGCCGTAACTTGAAAAATTGAAGTCGGAATCAGCTCAAACTTGCTACACGGCATAAGGACATCAATATGTATCAGAAAATGTAATAAAAATTTGGGGTGATTTTTTGGCCATTTTTTGGGAAAAACCATGGGCTATAGCCTTGGGTATTTTTCAGATTTTTGACGTTTTCTTAAAATAGCCTTAACTTGAAAAATTGAAGTCGGAATTAGCTCAAACTTTCTACACAGCATAAGGACATCAATATGTATCAGAAAATGTAATAAAAATTTGGGGTGATTTCGGAGCCATTTTTTGGGAAAAACCATGGGCTATAGCCTTGGGTATTTTTCAGAATTTTGGCATTTTCTTCAAATGGCCGTAACTTGAAAAATTGAAGTTGGAATCAGCTCAAACTTGCTACACAGCATAAGGACATCAATATATATATCAGGAAATGTAATAAAATTTTAGGGTGATTTTGGAGCCATTTTTTGGAAAAAAGCATGGGCTATAGCCTTGGGTAATTTTCAGGATTTTAGCATTTTTTAAAAATGGCCGTAACTTGAAAAATTGAAGTCGGAATCAGCTCAAACTTGCTACACAGCATAAGGACATCAATATGTACACAGTATAATAGGCCACACCCCCACTGACATCCCAATACTATTATTAACCTGAACTATATCATACCTTCATTATTGAAGAGAAGGTCTCACTCCTTGAGTCAGTGGTGGCCTCCTTCTTAAGTAAATCATCATTTAAACTGTTTATAAACTCAATGGATTTATCCTGTGAATGTATAATTAATTAACAAATAATATTATATTTAAATACATTATACAATGTTCACTCACCACTATTGCTATGATGTAGTCATTTCTAACTTTCTCGGTTAAAAAACTTGAACACAAACCAAACGGCCTGAAATTAATTATTAATAATAGTTACATGTACTTAACCAGTGGTTATATTAATAATAGTTAATTAACCTAACCTTAATAAAAAGGACAGTATATTTACTGTTAGTTCTCCTTCACAAATTCTCTTCTTTAAAAAATCAAACCCACCCAACCGGCCAAACAGGTTTATCAAGTCAACAAGACGACCCTATACAAACAAGTAAACATGTAAACAAATTAACAAACAAACAAACAAACAACCTTCATGTTGTGTTTGTGAGCGTCAGGGAGTGGCCTCGCATACAGTAACTCCTCCCACTTCTCTCCCTAACAAATGAAACCAATACATTAACACATGTACATGTACTTTAATACCTATATCTATTAATATATTAATATACTGATAATACCAATACACGTATGTACATGTACAAATGTATAAATGCATTAATACATGTACATTAATATACTAGATATACTAATAGATGCAGTACATGTACATGTACTTACA